ATTTACAATGCTGGCGCAGCCTATTCAATACCCAATTTCTTTTTCTCTTATGCATAATTTTATTTAGTTGATCCATTCGCCGAGGTATGTGAAGTGCTTAGTATTTACTAATTGCAAGTCCTGAATTGTTATGATGGATTTAGGGTAGGTGCCATCACTGCTTTCATATCATTCTTTTTTGAATACATTGAAAATCTGTAACACAATCTTGATGTAACACTGTATACAAACAAAGGGGACCTTACTGCACAAGCATTAACAAATACACTCTGATGAGGGTTGAACAGTCAGTAACAAGATATTGAGCGTGTTTTTCGCTTAAAGTAGTTTGGAATGGCAACATCTTGATTATGTTATTTTTTGCTCTTCGAGTTACATGTGATATCCATGTTAGCTGTTGCTGCTGTTGGAAGTTCTAAAGAGATTTAATATCACATGAACCTGAAACAATTCTATTTCTTTATTTATATGTTACTGGGGACTCCTTGATATATATGAAGTTATTTTTTGTTATTTTTTTTTTTTTTTTTTTTTTTTTGCTATTTACAATTTAACACGCATCAGTTTTTATAGTTTCACAAATATTTCCTTTCCTTGGATTCTCAAATCCGAGGGTAACTAAAAAACGTCAGGCACTTACGTCATAATATATTTTTAGGTTCTCGCACTGCCTTCTGCGCGTGCGTGCTTGTAGTTGGTATTATTCTGGTCACGTGATCGAATTTTCAGCTTGGCCGCACGAGTTTTCCTCAGTATAAACACGGCCGATAGAAGTTTGCACCAATCCAAAAACAAAGAGCAGTGATCTGATTTCTTTCGTGGGAAGGTGTGTCAGGGGCTAAAATTCATCGGAAGCATTTAACACTATACGGCGACATTGCACTACAGATGCGTACATGAGATCGAGATGATTATATGTGGACATGCAAGCGTGATGCATAAAGAAGGGTCACTCCTCTTTGTTCCTCCTAGGTGCACATTGCAGCATGAAAATTAGTGCAATGAATATAAAACATCGAGAATGTGGCCACAATAGCATCACCAGCGGAAGCCAGTGTCACAAAATTGCGGATAACTTTTGACTTACCCTCGTACATCAGTTTTAATAATGTACCGTATTTTTATTACGTGGAGAGGTTGGACACCATTCTCTTTATTTGGAATATGACAAATTTTATTTTATTTTAAGGTTTTGTAGAATATGAAATCACATTTTATTCCAGGAACATTTTATTTATCTTCTTGATTATGACAAGTAACATTAGAAAAGGTATTCATTCAACAAATTATTAGAAAAGATATCCATTCAATAAATGATTAGAAAAGGTATTAATTCAATAAATGATTAGAAATGCTATTAATTCAAGAAATTAGAAAAGCTTTTAATCCAATACATTATATTAGAAATGTTATGGATTCAAGTAATTATTATAATTCTCATTTACTTTTTCAACATGGACAATTTTTGAAGGCCCTGTCATAACAGGCAAATGACAAATTGGAGATAAAATCATGCATGTACGGTATTTTAAATATCTGGGAAAAGATTACTTAACTATTGTGCAATATCAGTCCACTTACATGACAGTGAATGCTGGGTAATCTCAAAACAAATGACAAAGAGACCCGAGCCAACGGATATGTACTTCTACAGAAGGATACTGAGAATTCAATGGACTGAATATGTGAGCACCGACGAAATTTTAGGGAAAATTGAAACAAAAGAGAGGTTTATATTGAACATCAGACATAGACATACATAGGACATAATGAAGGCAAGAGAGACAAGGGAAAACAACGCATAACCTGCCGGGTAACTTGATGGCGGAACACTGTTTACGAGAGTTAGCAAAAAGACAGAACTTATTAAATTTACAAAGGAAAGGAAATTGCGGAGACCCATGATCGCCAGCGTTCTCAAGGGATACGGGACATAACAGAAGAGGAAAAATATTTTACTGCCTACCGTACAGGCTCGAAGCATTACTTCATTTCATCCATGTTATCTTCTGTGGCGTGCTGGATAACTTCTCAAAGACCCAAACTGCTGCCTTAGCTATCAAGTTCAGCCAATGTAGCTCTTCATTCATCGATATTTATTATTGTTTACATGTCATTTTCCATGTCTCAACTGACTTGAAGTGGAAAAATGACATCGAATCAATAGAAGCATTTGCTGCAAGGAAGGTTATCTTTGTTGCAGTTTTTTGTGTATGTTATGTAACTAGTGAGCTAGCCCAAATGACTTAACTGACTTTATAGTTCACCAATAGAAAGTTAACCAATCAGAAGACGTAGAATATTCAATCCGTCGTGTATAAAGGCGGCCATTTTGTTTACTCTATCCGAATGTCCAGTCCAGCTTGTCAGGCGAAGAGAAACAGAAGGACGAACTATGATCTGCTACTTTTACTAAAATATCCACTGCCAACCTGAACAACGCTTTCCTACTGTCTTCGAAATATTAACTGCTAACCACTGGATTCTATACTCGAAGACGACCGTCATCATGTCAGACCCAAAGTTTTTTTCTTGCCGGAGTCAATCTTGCATATTTACAAATCTACCGTTCGTCCGTGCATTGAATATTGTTGCTATATCTGGTCTGGTGCTCCTGCTAATCATCTCGAAATTCTTGGCAAAATCCAAAGAAAGTTCTGCACCTTAATCGATCCTGACTTGGCATCTCGACTTCAGTTACTTTCTCGCCAACGTGACGTGGCTTCCCTCTGTCTTTTCTACAAATATTTTCATGGCAACTGTTGTCACGAGCTTTTTTCCGTGGTGCTTCGGCAAAATAACTTTAACCTAACCTTTCTACTATATTGGTATCAAGGTTCCACCTTATTACTGCTGAAATGTTTAAATATAACCAGCACTTCTACTACAATAGTTTCTTTTCTCACACTTCCCACCTGTGGAACTCACTTCCGTTTACTTGCTTTCTTGAAAACTACAATCTTCAAAAATTTACATTATTCAGACTATTGTCCTCATCTTTGTTTCCATATTTATTACAACATTTCGGCCGTTGTACGCTCCGGCCTTCTTCAGGTGGTTGTATGGTCGAACTGAACCCTTTATTTCGCTCACTGGGGCAGACCATTCTAGTTCCACGTGAGTTAGTTAGATCCAGTGACAGGACCCAAAGTGTGAGAGTTCAAAACCCGCTTAAGGCAGTGGAAAAAGTGGAGAGGGGAATTAACAGAAAATAACTGACAGCTGACATCCATTAAACATGATAAGTAGAACTGGAACATACTACACCAAGGGGGCGAAATAAAGGGTTCAGTTCAACATTCCAGCCCCCTGAAGAAGGCCGGGGCGTACAACGGCCGAAACGTTGTAATAAATATTGCGACAAAGAAGAGAACAATAGTCCGAATAATGTAAATAGTGTACATAAGACCTCATCTCAGAAATATAGACAAATACAGAAAGGCCAAAACGTTGTAATAAATATGGCGACAAAGATGAGGACAATAGTCCGAATAATGTAAATAGTGTACATAATACCTCATCTCAGAAATATAGACAGATACTGAAGGGCCGAAACGTTGTAAGAAATATGGCGACAAAGATGAGGACAATAGTCCGAATAATGTAAAAAGTGTACATAATACCTCATATGAGAAATATAGACAGATACAGAAAGGCCGAAACGTTGTAATAAATATGGCGACAAAGATGAGGACAATAGTCCGAATAATGTAAATAGTGTATATAATACCTCATTTCAGAAATATAGACAGATACAGAAAGGCTGAAATGTTGTAATAAATATGGCGACAAAGATGAGGACAATAGTCCGAATAATGTAAACAGTGTACATAATACCTCATCTCAGAAATATAGACAGATACTGAACGGCCGAAACGTTGTAATAAATATGGCGACAAGATGAGGACAATAGTCCGAATAATGTAAATAGTGTACATAATACCTCATCTCAGAAATATAGACAGATACTGAAGGGTCAAAACGTTGCAATAAATATGGCAACAAAGATGATGAAAATTGTCCGAATAATGTAAATAGTGTACATAATACCTCATCTCAGAAATATAGACAGATACTTCAAAAATTTATATGCAACATCAATTGTCGTCTTCTGTCGGCTTGAACCCTGTTCATATTTTATTCTTTCCTCAATTCCTCTATACCCAATGTTTTCTCTCATTTTCATTCTCTGTAACCCGCTCCGGGCTAGTGGCATTTCCCCCATTGCTAGGGGTGAAATGATTAAAAAAATTCTCGCTAAAACGTTTTTTTTTGTTTTTTTGTTTTTTGTGTGTGATTTTTACATTACATTACGTAGTTTTCTGTCCTTTGACCAATGTTTCGTTCTTTAATGAGAGTGAGAACAGCATTTTTTCAAATATATTGTTGCTGATCAATCTTATTTTCTATTTTATTACTCGTTTAATATTCTCTAAATTTGTTTCTCTTTTCGTGACTTTCTTAAGGTTATTTTTTTATTGTCTTGTAATGTTTTTCAAATTCATATTTTATTTTTCAGTTATCTGTGTTTACGCTTTGCAGAAATTGCAACGTTAATTCTTCATCTATCAATTCATTTACGGCATCTTGTTTTGTTTATTTGGGCAATATATTTCTTATTAAACATTATACACATGGAACTGAAAAACAAAATGGAAACTGTTATGTATTCGAGTGTCAAAAACAAAGAAATAAGAATAAATATAATATTGTATACAAGCAATACGCTTGAAAATATGCATTTTTTTTTTATTTTGGATTTTCTGATGACTCATAAGTGTTAAGTTAAGGATAGAATAAACGTCTGAGTTATACGGCTATAAAATGCCTGCAGAAATTCTTCGATGACATCGTTAAATATTTGAGATCAACAACTTTAACAAAATATTGCAAAAATAATTACAAATGTAAATGGATGACATTATTTAAAGATGCATGTTGGTATAAATGAAAAATCCAAATTTGACAAGTTCATTTTTATTTCACTGAGCAGACGTTAAATGCAAAGACATTTTTCACCTCCTCCTCCTTTCTTCCATTCTGTCTTTCTTTTTCTTCATTCTTTGCTTTTATCGCTTTCTTTCTTTCTTTCTTTTTTCTTTCTTTCTTCTTTCTTTTTTCTTTTTTTCTTTCTTTCTTTGCTTTTGTCGATTTCTTTCTTTCTTTCTTTCTTTCTTTCTTTCTTTCTTTCTTTCCTTCTTTCTTTTTTTCTTTTTTTTTCTTTGTTTCTTTCTATTTATTACAATATACTTTGTACTTAGCTTTTCTCACTAAAACCAAACAATGGACTGATATATATTTTCTCCTGTCTTTCTGTGCATTCGAAACGAAATGGTCCATTACAATGGGCAACAAAATGTTCACTGTTTTTTTTTTTTTGGGGGGGGGTGTCAGTAAGTGTTATTTCTTAATGACTATTTTTCATTTCTAACTCTGCTTTTCTGACTTGGGCATCGACCGATTCAGCTGAAAGAGAACTTCCTAAAGTTTCAGGAACATTCGAGAAATTTCTAAAAGTTTCAAGAATTTCTAGAGCGTTCTAAAAATTAGAAGTTGTTATTAACAACAAGTATACTCGTGCCGTCAAAAACGACGGCTTATTTATTATACGCCGCAGTTATGTTATTGCTAAATTGGTTTCAGTGACCAGAATATTATATATAATCTTGGTGGACTCTCTCGTCGTATTCGACGTATGAGGGTCAAGCAGCTCAGTTCCTAGGAACCGATAGCCAAGACACCAGGACATCATAGAGTGGTTAAGGCTTTGTGCAGAACCAACCATACTTTTTGAAGGGTCGAATACGTGAAGATTTTGAGTTCAGAGTTGTACTTCTCCTAGACCAGTTGCCATTCAAGGCTTTCCTGCTATTTAGCCATAGCTGGAGGGAGAAGAAGAAGATTAATATCTTTCCCGAGGATATTAATTGATTCGAACTCGCCTCTCCGATTCCTCAATCCGAGCCTTTATCCATTACTCCACTGTGCTTCCTCTATATAATCTTATATATAATATTATACATAATATTATATAATATATACACTGTGAACACTCTTTTGCGCATTTCTTGCATTTCGCATGGTACCAGTATTCTCATTTCTACGACAGGTGCTCTTTTTTTTCTTGTCGAAGACGATTTTCTATTCGTTTTCTCTCATTCCTTGTCTTAGATTCTTCCTGTTTCTTTTTAAATCCTTTCAGCTACACGTTCTTTGATAACATCTAGTCTTGTATTAGTTTCTTCCTTTATTTCCCGTTGTATACTTTGTACTGCTCTTTCTCTCTCTCCCTTTCTCTCTCTCTCTCTTTCTCTTTCTCTCTCACTCTCTCTCTCACTCTCTCTCTTTCTCTCTCACTCTCTCTCTCTTTCTCTCTCTCTCTTTCTCTCTCACTCTCTCTTTCTTTCTCTCTCTCTCTTTCTCTCTCTCTCACTCTCTCTCTTTCTCTTTCTCTCTCTCTCTCGCAGGTCTGCTATCCTATCTCTTCTATTTCATTAATTCGCTTTTGAGCCTCGCACCTCCTAGATTGTGATGTTATTGTTTTTTTCGCGTTAATTTGATACCTATGGATATCTTTGCCCGCCAGCCTCCCTCTGTGCTGTATCTGATCCAAGGACTCGCGTAATCGCCGCCTTTGTTTTTTTTTTTTTTTTTATTCTCGTTCTAATCTGCTCTTTGTTTCAAGTGAATTTTCCATTTTATCATGTGCACTGTACAAAATAGTCTTAAATGCACAAAACAATGTAAAATATAGGGAATTGTCGAAATTTAATTCAACATCTTGGATTCAAAACTAAAATGTATTTAAATAATATGAGAACGTTTAATCACACCCACAACATTAATACTAAATTTATCTTTTAACAGTTAATCTATTTAGATGTCTGATGAATCTAGGATACCTTAATTCACATATTCAGATAAAATATATTGTCAGTGATGCATTTTCTGTAGTAACGTTAATAATTAAAAAAAAAACCGTGATATCCGGTGTTTACTCGTTCCCCAACGAGGACGAGATGTGACACAAGGTCTTTTTAAGGTGAGGACCCGAGCGTGTACACCCGGGCAAAGGACAAAAATAGCCCACAGCCCCCGCAACCGTCGGTTGCGCTGGCCTCGGCGCGAGCATCAATCTCTCCCTCATGTGCAATGGGAGGGCCCGGCCTCGGGCAGCTGTTACGCAGGGTTGGGCACCTTTCAGTATTATTTTCTCAGTTGCCCCACTATCCTTTGAGAGAGAAGACCCTGAGCGCACTCTGTCCAAAGACAGAGACGCACCGAGAAATGATAAATAGACGTGACCTTACTTAAAAAGAGTAAAAAAAAAGTGATATATATGAATAAATGCTTATTGTATTTCAGTCTGTCTTGTTAGGACCTCAAATGAGACAGGAAATATATAAAAAAATACACATTGATAATTATTATATGGTTTGATTTTATGATTCATGATATTAATTATAGTATGTAATCTTATCAAGAAAATAATGTTATATCCCTTTATGAAGAAAATATAAATTTACTACACTTTATCAACTGGGAAAAGACATATATAAATATACCTTGATAAATATTATATACTTTGAAATTATGATTGCTAACAAGATTCTTTATATTATTTCACGTCATCAAGGAAACATTGTTATCTCCCCTTATGAAGAGAATATAAACTTATCTTTATCAAATGGAACAGGAAATATATAAATACATATTAATAAGTATTAATGGATTTAATTTATGATCGAGGAGAATATTCTTTTTATTATTTAACGGTATCAAGATGTAGTTATCTCCCTTTATGAAGAAAATATAAAGATATCTCATGAAATGGGACAAGAAATATATAAATACACATTGATAATTATTATGATTTGAAATTATGATTGATGACAAAATTATTTATATCATTTAACGTTATCAAAAAAATACTGCTTTCTCCCTTTATGAAGATAGTATAAATTTATCTTTCTTTATCAAGTGAGACAGGAAACATATAAATAAATACACATTGACAATTATTATTGGGTTTGATATTGGCAACCCTCGATTTGCGTAATAGTATTTTCACACTGTAAAATATCTTGTCGACCTATGTCATTCTATTGAATTAAATCTTTCGTATTTTGTAATGTCTCTTTTAAAACACCTTGACACAAACCTTTATAGAAAAGGTTGGCGTCTGTCTTTGTAAGTTACCCGTGTACTGCATACATTAATCGAATAAGAAAGAGACAAACTAACACCCGAATCTAAGTAGACATCCAGTCTAACAATTAAAGAAGTACTGCGCTGGTTATGAATGAAACAAGACTGATAATCAAATGATCGATGAACGATGGTCTTGGATACATGTTATCGAATGAGATTTATTTCACTTGCTTCATCGAATGAAATCGCTGATCCGTCACACATTTGCGAGAACAGACGCCAAGGAATCAAGTAATACATCTGTGTATCATTAAATTAGGTTTTAAGTGCGTGAACCAATAACAAATATCAAAAAACGTGTTTGTTGGGTCAGAGAGTTACATATTTCCTAGACAGATAGACGGAGGTGTGCTCAAACTGTGGGGTGGGGCTATGAATGTAGAAGCTTATTTTAAGGGAATTTGGGTTTCTCTATTTGAATGGAGAGACACAATCTTCCTAGATCATATTTTCCATTATTTAAAATTATTAAGTTTACTAGAAATCTAGGTGGAAATACTCAACAAGTCGATGCTTCGCCGATCGCTACAATCTTCATTTGTTCAAGTATAAGTCCAACTGTTATCTTACCACGCAGTTACATAAACTGTGCCTCTTACTCTGTAACTCTCTACCTCGAGTGGCTCTTGATCCTTGTATAGGGGAACAACATCGTGAAAGAAATGTCTTTCAAGGCAATATTATATTCCATATTTTTAAGCTGTCTGTTTAATGATGATTTAAAAGGCAATATCATATTCCATATTTTTAAGCTGCCGGTTTAATGCTGATTTAAAAGGCAATATCATATTCCATATTTTTAATCTGCCGGTTTAATACTGATTTAAAAGGCAATATTATATTCCATATTTTTAATCTGCCGGTTTAATGCTGATTTAAAAGGCAATATCATATTCCATATTTTTAATCTGCCAGTTTAATACTGATTTAAAAGGCAATATCATATTCCATATTTTTAAGCTGTCTGTTTAATGCTGATTTAAAAGTCAATATCATATTCCATATTTTTAAGCTGCCGGTTTAATACTGATTTAAAAGGCAATATCATATTCCATATTTTTAAGCTGCCGGTTTAATACTGATTTAAAAGGCAATATTATATTCCATACTTTTAATCTGCCGGTTTAATGCTGATTTAAAAGGCAATATCATATTCCATATTTTTAATCTGCCGGTTTAATGATGATTTAAAAGGCAATATTATATTCCATATTTTTAATCTGCCGGTTTAATGCTGATTTAAAAGGCAATATCATATTCCATATTTTTAATCTGCCGGTTTAATGATGATTTAAAAGGCAATATCATATTCCATATTTTTAATCTGCCGGTTTAATGCTGATTTAAAAGGCAATATCATATTCCATATTTTTAATCTGCCGGTTTAATGATGATTTAAAAGGCAATATTATATTCGATATTTTTAAGCTGTCTGTTTAATGCTGATTTAAAAGTCAATATTATATTCCATATTTTTAATCTGCCGGTTTAATGCTGATTTAAAAGGCAATATCATATTCCATATTTTTAATCTGCCGGTTTAATGATGATTTAAAAAATATTATATTCCATATTTTAATCTGCCGGTTTAATGATGATTTAAAAGGCAATATCATATTCCATATTTTTAATCTGCCGGTTTAATGATGATTTAAAAGGCAATATTATATTCCATATTTTTAATCTGCCGGTTTAATGCTGATTTAAAAGGCAATATCATATTCCATATTTTTAAGCTGTCTGTTTAATGCTGATTTAAAAGGCAATATTATATTCCATATTTTTAATCTGCCGGTTTAATACTGATTTAAAGGCAATATCATATTCCATATTTTAAGCTGCCGGTTTAATGACGATTTAAAAGGCAATATTATATTCCATATTTTTTTTAATCTGCCGGTTTAATACTGATTTAAAAAGGCAATATCATATTCCATATTTTTAATCTGCCGGTTAAATGATAATTTAAAAGGCAATAGTATATTCGATATTTTTAAGCTGTCTGTTTAATGCTGATTTAAAAGTCAATATTATATTCCATATTTTTAAGCTGCCGGTTTAATGCTGATTTAAAAGGCAATATTATATACCATATTTTAAGTTGCCGGTTTAATGCTGATTTAAAAGGCAATATTGTATTCCATATTTTTACTTGTGTAAAAATTACGTAAACATTCGGGATAATGTGTATAAATTTTATAGTAAGCTCTTTTTACATCATCTGTTGTTACGTCTTAATTATTACTGCTGTGTTCGACTCCAAGAAATTAAATTCTGATTTTCGAGGCAGGCATGGAAGACATGGAAGATTGATGTATGACAATCATCATATCTCGTTTCCCATTTCATATGACCTTATACCATTACAAATCATGGTAATATCACTAATAAAATAATTTTAAAAATATAGCCTCATTGTGCTGTAGATCAACGGTCGACAAACTACGTTTTACGTCAAGCAATTTCAAATGGCACGCAGCTTCAAATGACCAATAACTACTACAGCGCAAAGAAGATATTGAGCTGTTTCAATTTTAATATATTAAAATTGAAACATTCCGAAATGGACAAAGACCGACAATTTTTTTAAGACATTTTTTTTATGTTTATACATTCTTTTTATAGATACAAATATTTAAGTAAATGTTTTGTTTATAATAAACAGTATTAACGCCTTTTAAAGTCCTTAATATCCGATACATTTTCATAGAAAATATGCGTCCTCCGACATAAATCTATCCTGTATCCTATATGGAACCGTCATATAGCCTGACGTGCTTTATGTACTGATGTGGCTCAATCGGTATAGCACGTCAGGCTATATGGCGGTTCCATATAAATATAGGGTTCGGTTTCCTCGGAGGACGAATATTTTCATGAAAATTTCTCGTTTATTCAGGAAAGACTGTTTATTATAAACTAAATTTAATAAAAATTTGCGTTTATAAAAAGCATAAAATCTTAAAATATAAAGTATATATATTATATATTACTATATAAAATATATTGAGGAACAGGTATAGTGACCTTGACTTATATAAAAATACGTATAAATGATTTTAAACTGAATGATTTTAAACCAATAATTCGGCATATATTTAAAGGTTGCCGAATCCTGCTCTAGATTATCCAGACGAGCAGGTTTTTTTTTTTTTTTTATCGTTCCACCCCAGGTAAGGCAATAATGCAACTAAGACGCAGGGGGCTTCCAGGAAGTGAAAGAGAATGAAAAGGCTTTACTGTGGATTGGTGAGGAAATAATAATAAAGGAACCAGATTCAGGAAGA